TCTCTTCTGGACGGTCTCCTTGTTTATTATCTTTGCCTTTAGTTCATCTTTGGTGTGGTGTTATGAGGAGTTTTCTTGGTCTCTCGCTCATCTGCGCCTCACACATGATAACCAAGGAGGTTGCAATCTAGGAAGTTAGGTGGCCAAATGCAAGGGTGATGTGGTCGCAGAAATTATCTGACGGTCATGACTAGGTTCCCTTGCTCATGCGACATAGTGCAGAATGTGTTGCCAGACATAGCGTCTTCCAGCAGCCACCCTCTTGGCCCAGAGCAGTAATACCTCCTCAAGGCACTTGTTGTAGGCCTCCGTGTTGAGTCTGAGGTTGTCACCAACAAATTCAGGTGTTATTTTCTGATCAGAACGATCATTGAGTTTTCCGAGCGGCCGTACCTTCGTCATCACCATCAGACTCATCCAACTCTTTCAGAATCCTCTGCACTGTCACCAAAACTTTCTTAAATGCTCGTATTGGAGCTTGCGTCATGGTGCTTTTTTTCCCCACAGACGGTGCCCAACTGACCCTACTCTATAATGTGCAGTCGAGAAAATTAGAAACAAACAACGCTCATGCGCGAAATTCAAAATATAAAATGGCGACAATTTAGTCATCGCTCCCTGTATATAATGCATTATTGTCCGTTTCGTTGTTTTCATGGCAGTCCACACCCATCTATATAGAATTGGTAAAGGGAGGTAATAATGTCTGCGAATACAATATTTACATTCGCTATTTTGAGGCGGCATTCGCAGCGTTTTATAAGCACACACACACACACACACACACACACACATATATATATATATATATATATATATATATATATATACGTTTTTTTTTAAGACAACAGACAAGGTACTACGATTAAGTCTATTATTTAATTTTTCCTGTGTTTGAACAAGTGTTTTCTTTTCTGGACAGAATGTGTAGAAAATGTCCAAATGCTTTGTAATTCTGAGTTCTTTCGGCTAAACATTTAGACATTATTAAAGGTGATTTTATTTTTGCTTTTTAATTGGGTGTCTGGGTTGTGTGTATGTTTTTAGGGTTAAAGGGATGTTTTATTTTCCGAACACAGCACATTTTAGCCTTGTAAGGCATATAGTAGTGTGACTGATGGAATTATTTATGAATTTGGTTTGATCAGGAACACAAAAGCATTTGGATTCATAGATAATATTCGTTCGTTGTAATTTTGATTTTGCTGCTGTGTTGTTACTCATTCGAGTAAAGTTAGCTCTCACTCACTCACTCACTCACTCCTCACTCCTCTCACTCACTCCTCACTCCTCCTCACTCCTCCCTCTCCTCCTCACTCCTCCTTTCCTCTCACTCCTCCTGTTTGAACTCACTCCTCTCACTCACTCACTCCTCATATATATATATATATATGTGTGTGTGTGTGTGTGTGTGTGTGTGTGAAGTCGTCAATTCAAATCGTTTCATTTGTACCCACTTCTTAAAATAACAACCAAAATACATGTTTATGATTGTTATTCTGCTCTGTTGTCAAAAATAAATAAATAAATAAATGATCTTTAAGGAAAATACCCTACTTGGTTTCAGTGAGAAAATGAAAGAAAGAAAGAAAAAAGAAAGAAAGAAAGAAATGTTTAACATTTTCTGCTAATACTTAATAAATAATGGATTATTCTTTTTCCGTTTTGATTGAGTGGAAAAACAAAACCCATATAAGAAACGCTACTTGGTTTCAGTGAGAAAATGAATGAATGAAAGAAAACAACAACGCAATATAGATGTGTTTAACGGCTGATTGGGTGAAATGGAAATGTTTTCAATTTGAAATATATTAATTTGTACCCACTTCTTAAAATAACGACTAGCATTAATATTTATGAGCGTTACTCTGCTCTGAAGTCAAAAAAATTAAATAATTTTGTCATTTTTTAAAAATGTAAACTAAGAAAATACTAAATAAGAATTATAAAATTTGTTACAGTTAATTTTAATTTTTTAATAACGTTGTATTTTTAAAATGATTTCGTTTGAAAATGTAATTATTTCATTTAACTTAAAGATTTTAATGAGAAAAATTAGATAATATAAACTATTTTTGGAATAAATATACCTAGAAATTCGATATTCAAGGGAAATATTTATTACCCAAGATTTGATAATATGCGCCCCTGACAATTCCCGAAACCGATTATTCTTCGATAACACGCGAGACTTTGCAACGCCTACTGCGAAAAGGTGAATGTGCAGTATCCCCAATTATTTCGTAGAGGGAATCGGATACGTAAAAAGTGATGGTAATTCTCAGTTAATCTGTGTTTCTAAAGGCCTTTCTCCTACCGCCTGCTCTTTCGTCAGTCCATTAAAACGGTTTGAATTCAGGTGAGAATTGCCAATTTATTGAGTGTATTGGACAGGCTACTGACGATTTCTACAAGTGGAAGAACTGGCTTTGATCTGCTGCATATAAAATGCTTTACTGCTAGCATATAACCCAGTTCTTTACTGTTAACATATAACCCAGTTCTTTATTGTTAACATATAACACAGTACAACAACAGGCGGTTTGGATATAAACCAGCTCCGCGACTAGCTTTTCTGCTGGTGAGGAGGGTGACATGTCACCCCGCAAAATCTCTCAAAGGATGGACGAACTTCTAACGACCTCGAGTTTGCAACGACCTTGTGTGGAATTCGAATTTGGATTCGGCTTGATGATTTCACGTTCTGTCAAATTAACAATCCTAAAATAAATCTATCATGGCCACCGATTTATTGGACGAAAGTATTCTTATTCAAATTGAATATCATTTATTAATCTATATTATAATTCTGCTTGTCTCTCCCGTCGTTAGTTAGTTCCTCAGTTCGTACGACCGTTACGCCCTGCCAAAACCTCATAAATTATGGACTATTATGTTTCGATCGGATGGAAAGAGGGCATGGTTCCATTGAGAAAATGAAAGAAAGAAAGAGAAAAAGAAGGAAAGACAGAAATGTTTAAGGTCTCCTGCCAATACCTAATAAATAATTGATTATTCCGTATATGTTATATACCTTACCTATGAACACTAATGGATATGTCCCAATCCTCATAAATACGTTAGACACTATTGTAAGTGGGGGATAATAGGCTGTCTAAGTAGGTAAACCACTGCTGGTGATAGACTCCTTAGCCATCATATTACCCCCAATTACAATAGTGTCCAACGTATTTATGAGGATTAGTATTGTTTTTTTTTTATAACATATAGCAAAGAAGCTACTTGGTTTCAGTGAGAAAATGAAAGAAAGAAACAAACGAAACATGGTTTGGTTTGTTTTACGGCATATCTACTTCAATGGGTTATTTAATGCCGACAAAATGTTTATCGCTGGTAACATGTTTTTCTTCAAAGATCTATTTCTGGGAATATTTTTCCTTGAAGAAATATATAGCTGGTAATATTTTTTTTTCAAAGAATGTATAGCTGTTTGTAATGCTAGTATTTTTTAAGTATTGCTGACAATAAGTTTTCCTTCAAAAATTATTGCTGGTAATATTTTTTATAACAAAGTATTTCTGGTATTAAAAATTATTTTTACACAAGTTTGGGTGTCAACTATTTGCCTATAGGTGGGACCCTAACAGGTGCTACCACTCCGTGTCAGGGTGGACATGGGAACACCAGAAATTAAGAGGTGGTTCCACGCTCCTCAAAACCTCCTGATCAGAGGCCTTGTTGTTGGACGTAGTTTATCGTCTTACCCAGGACGCGGATGTAGTTTATCATCATAAGCAGGACGGAAAGAAAGAAGGGAATATAGAAGAAAGAAAAAAGGGAATATAGAATAGCTGTTTTAGTGAAATGGAAAAGATGTCAGTTTGAAACCTGTTCATTTGTACCCACTTTTTAAAATGACCACCAGCATTCATATTTATGATTGTTATTTAAAGTTGTTAAACTCAAATATTTGACAATGCGAAAGGGGGATTTCTACGGATACTGTATTGTCATAGAACTTGCTATGAGCTTATTCAATTATTAACTTAAGAATTAAGATTCATCAGAAAATTCAAAGGAAACCGTGAAATATTCACAGGCCTTTTTATCATTTCACAATTCCCATTGCTATATATCCGTGCCGACAGGGACACCTCGAGGTGGTGTAATGGTTAGCAAGCTTGTCTCGCTAGAACAATTACGCTTGAGTAGTGAGTCCGTTCCTCACTGGGTGCCTCATACTTTCTGCCTTGTGCCACATCGGAGCTACGCTTGGAAAGTCGCTATATCTGCATCGAAGGAAATTTCCGTTTTCCACCGTTGGAACATGAAATTATTGTAACAGACATTCCTGTCATCTTTATCTAATTAGTTAACCCTTTATAGCGATTTCGATCCTCACTGAGGATACCATGTCAGTCTAAGTTGATAATAAATCCCCCATCTGCCAGAGAGAGTTACCTTGTTCGTTGCGGTGTGTACAAATCAAAGACGAACGATAAAGATTGCTTCACGGAGTTAGAATTAAATCATTGTCATTTGCATTATTCATTTTCCCGGGCCTACTGAATATTTCTTCATGCAACGATTCATTTTCCCCACCCACTCTACACCATAGCCTCAGCACGCATCATACCAAACCTTTTTCTCCCTCCTTCCGACTCTAGCCAGCGTGAATATATCTTTGCCTCTGTTTTGTTTATTGATTTGAGTTTGTGCTGAAAGTTTATTTTCATTCGATGTCCTTCGCTGCCCGAAGAGCATTCATCACCGCTTCGCTTGTCTGGCTCCATCTTATTCAATTGAAACTTACCGGAAGTAGCTATGACCGAAACGTGACACGAGCTAAGATGGCGTCAAGTAAAACTTACCAAATTGCTGCTTGTTATTGGTGGGGCTGCTTGTGTCAAAGCGTAGCCCGATTCTTTAATTTACTTTATTCTTCATTCATTTCTCCCTTTCCAGCTTTTTATATTTTTTCATAAAAGGTCATTGTTTCTTTTCCTTTGTATTCTTTTATTCATTCTTTCTGTAATTAGGTTTCTTTCTTTTTGCCTTTCTTTCTTTTTTCCTTCTTGAATTCCTTTCTTTCTTTCTTTCTTTCTTTTTTTCTTTCTTTCTTTCTTTCTTTCTTTCTTTCTTTCTTTCTTTCTTTCTTTCTTTCTTTCTTTCTTTCTTCATTGTTTTGTAATCTTTCTTTTATCAAGATTTTTCTTTCTTTCTTTCGGCTTTCTTCCCATCATGATTTCTTTGTTTTCGTCCGACAATATGCTTCAGTTTATTTTTTCCTGCATTCCTTTCTGTATTTCTCTTTTTATTATAAGTTTTGCTTTTCTTTCATTCATTCATTTTTCTTTCATTCGTTGCTTTTCTTAACATCGTGATATTTACATTTCTTTCTTTCTTCTATTTCTATCAATATTTTGCTATCTTTCTTTCTTTTTCTTTCTTTCTTTCTTTCTTTCTTTCATTTGTACATCAGTATGTTTCATTTGTTTCTTTCTGTTATCATTTTTTATATTTCTTTCTTTCCATATTGATTTTGTCTTTCTTTCTATTTTTCATTCTTTTATCTTTCTTTCGATCATGATTTCTTCCTTTCGGTCATAATTATTCTTTAATTTCCTTCTTTTTTTTCTTTCTTTCAACATTATATTCATATTCTTTTTTCTTTATTTCTACATTTCCTTCTTTTTAGCCATAAGTATTTTTGCTTTTCTTTCATTCATTCGTTTTTCTTTCTTTCTTTATTTTTTAGTCTACCGATGTTTACATTTGTTCCTTTCTTTCTTTCTTTCTTTCTTTCTTTTTCTATCATAATTTTGCCTTCTTTCTTTCTGTCTTTCTTTCTTTCTTTCTTTCTTTCTTTCTTTATGCACTTTCTTCTTTTTAACTATAATTATTTTTCTTTTGTTTCATTCATACTATTTCCTTGCTTTCATTTTTAACATCCCGATATTTACATGTGTTCCATTCTTTTTTTCATTTTCTTTCACTATTTCACAGTCTTTCTTTCTTTCTTTCTTTCTTTCTTTCTTTCTTTCTTTCTTTCTTTCTTTCTATCTTACGCCAGTATATTCTTTCTTTCTTTCTTTATTTATTTATTTATTTTGCATTCTTTCTTTCTTTCCTTTTTTATTTTGTTGTTTTTTTCATCTTGATTTCTTTCTTTCGGCCATCATGAGTTTTTATTTCCTTCTTTCTTTTTTCTTTCTTTCTTTCATCATTATTTAGCATTTCCTTTTTTTTTCTTTCTTTCTACATTTCCTTCTTTTTACCCATAATTATTTTTGCTCTTCTTTCATTCATTCGTTTTTCTTTCTCTGTTTATTTTTTACTCTCTCGATGTTTACATTTGTTCCTTTCTTTTTCCTTTTTCTATCATTATTTTACATTCTTTTTTCTGTCTTTCTATTTTTTTTTGCTTGTTTCTTCCTTTCTTTCTTTTTCCTTTCTTTCTTTTTTTTTTCTTTTTACCCAAATCTTTTTTTTTTTTTCTTTTATTCCACCATCCCAATTTTATTTTTCCTTTCTTTTCTTTTTTTTTCACATTTATTTTTTACTTCTCTTACATTTATTTCTTTTCCTTTCTTTCTATTCCACCATCCCAATATTTACTTTTATTATATTCTTTTTACTTTTTCTATCATTATTTTCCCATCTTATTATCTTTATTTCTTTCTTTCGTTCTCTTCCTTTCTTTCTTTCTTTCTTTCTTTCTCTTCCTTTCTTTCTTTCTTTCTTACTTTATTTCTCTTTCTTTCATGATTTTTTTCGTGATTTCTTTCTTTAGCTTTTTTCCAACAGGATTTCTTTCGTTGTTTCCATCATTATTTTTCATTTCTTTGTTTCTTTCATCATTAATTTGCTTTTCTTTCTTTTTAACATGATGTTGGCTGTCTGACTTTTTTCTTTCTTACATTTCCTTATGAATATAATAATTAGTTTTTGTTTAATTATCCATTCGTTAGTCTTTCTTTCTTTTTTTACTATTTCGATATGTATATTTGTCTATTTCTTTTTTCTTTTTCTATCATAATTTTGAATTCTCTCTTTCTGTCTTTCTTACCTTCTTTTTATTTTCTTTCTTTCTTTCATTCTTTTCTTATGCATTTTCTTTTATTTTAAATGTAATTAGTTTTCTTTTGTTTCATTCATTCGATTTTCTCGCTTTCATTTTTAACATACCGATATTTACATGTTTCATTCTTTTTTCTTTTTCTATCTGTATTTTACTTTTTTTTTTTTTCTTTCTTTCTTTCTTTCTTTCTTTTCTTTCTTTTCTATCATTATTTTGCATTCTTTCTTTCTTTGTGTCAATTTACCCCAGTATATTCTTTCTTTCTTTCTTTCTTTCTTTCTTTTTTTTTCTTTCTTTCTTTCTTTCTTTCTTTCTTTTTTTCTATCATTATTTACATTCTTTCTTTATTTCCTTTTTTAGAATTTTTTTAATCGTGATTTCTTTCTTTCGGCCATCATGAGTTTTCATTTCCTTCTTTCTTTTTTCTTTCTTTCTTTCATCATTATTTAGCATTTCCTTTTTTCTTTCTTTCTACATTTCCTTCTTTTTACCCACAATTATTTTTGCTTCTCTTTCATTTCCTCGTTTTTTGTTTTTTTTTTTTTTTTTTTTTACCATCAGGATATTTTCATTTATTTTCTTTTTTTCTTTTTCTAACCTTATTTTGCGTTCTTTCTTTCGGTCTTTATCTACTACTTTCATTCTTTCTCTTTTTCATTCATTCGTTTTTCTTTCTTGCCTTGTTTTATCATCCATCATTTATTCTTTTTTCTTTCTTTTTCTTTTTTTTTTTTCTTTCTTTTTTTTGTTTTCCTTTCTTTCTTTTTACTTTTCTTTTTCTTTCCATCATGATTTTGTCTGCTGTCTTTCTATTTTTAACTTTTTGCATTTTCTTTTAAATATAATAATTACTTTTGCTTTTCTTTCATTTTTTGTTAGTTTTTCTTTCTTTTTTACTATCCCCCATATTTTTATTTGTCCCATTCTTTTTTTCTTTTCTTTCATTACTTTTCTTTCTTTCTTTTTCTTTTCTTTTTTTTCTTCTTTCTTTCTTTCTTTTTTCTTTCTTTCTTTTTTTCTTTCCTTCTTTCTTTCTTTCTTTCCATCATGATTTTGTCTGCTGTCTTTCTATTTTTAACTTTTTGCATTTTCTTTTAAATATAATAATTACTTTTGCTTTTCTTTCATTTTTTGTTAGTTTTTCTTTCTTTTTTACTATCCCGATATTTATATTTGTCCCATTCTTCTTTTTCTCTCATTACTTTACCTTCTTTCTTTCTGTTTTTCTTTTCTTTCTTTCTTTTTTCTTTCTTTCTTTACTCCCGGTGATATTTTAGCCCTTTTCTTTCCATGTCATTCAATTCCTGTTCTTTCTTTTTGTTGTCTCGATTTGCGTACTATTCCCAGCTCATTCATTCAGTCATGTCGTATTTATTTTTTCCGTTTATTGTGTCTGTTTGCTTGTTTCTTCCTTCCTTTCATTTATCCATTGGCCATTCTTTTTATGCTTCTATCTATCTATCTCTATCTCTTTATCTATCTATCTTTCTAATTATCTATCCTATCTATCTATCTATCTATCTATCTATCTATCTATCTATCTATTTCAATATGCTTTTCTTATTTTAAATTCAAATACTTTATCTATCTTTCTTACTTTCTTTCTTTCTTTTATTTCAAAATTCAAATAATTATCTATCTATCTATCTATCTATCTATCTATCTATCTATCTATCTCATCCTGTTCTTTCTTTTATTTTAAAATTCAAATACTTTATCTATCTATCTATCTATCTATCTATCTATCTATCTATCTATCTCATCTATTCTTTCTTTTAAAATTCATCTTTATTTCTATCTATCTATCTATTTCAGTTACTTTCTGTCTGTCTGCTTGATTTTACTTCAACGATGGCGGACTTTAATATCTCTTTGTTATAACGGGGCCCTTCTTTTGTCAACCTGATGATGACGCTCCGACGTAGTATTCCAGAACCTTTAACCAGAAGTGTTATGTGGACAAAATGATCGCCCAGCCTCTCCTGAATCAGACGGTTTATTGTCTATTTCCCTTTTCTACAGTTTATCAACCCTTATCAACCCAGGTTGTTTATAGCCAGTAAATATTTTTTTACTTTGTAATTTTATTTAGTGAGGCGAGGGAAGATAATAATGGTTTAGTGATACAAGTTTTAATAATTAACTCATAGCTGGAGGGACAATAATTGGATTCATAACTTTACCAAAGATGTTAGTGTATAAGGGAATATAACGAATCTAATTGGTATTTGAACACATCTCCTCGATTAAAAATTCCGAGCCATTATCCATTACACAATCAGCGCATTTAAACTTAAAGCACGTGGAATTAACAAGCGGTGCGCCATTTAAGTACTGGCTAGGCTCGATGTTGCTTAACTTCAGTGATCGTCCGGAGACTGGTGTTTCAGTGTGTTGTTGTCATAAGCCTTGAATAAGGCATGCCGTGCCAAATGTAGGAAAAATCTGCTTGAGCAGGCATGATATCTCCTGGTTCAACTTTTCGACGACGTCTCGCTGAGACTTTGTAATCGCAGATTACAACTATAGTACGCCGTTGAAAAATACTGGTGTCAGGCCCCTTCGAATAACACTCACACTAATAGTAGTTGCTTGATAATACTCGCTCGGATAATGTTGTAACCCAGGGAAGGTTACTGAATAGAATAATCGCACACAATTTAGCAATGAACGATAATACTTAGGACAAGGACAACACATATAAGATTCGCCAGCAGCGCGTAGAAGAAGTAGTCAACTGCTAGAAGTAAGTCAAGTGGATTCCACACTGAATCTTCAGTTGAAGGATATCTGCTAACCGCCCCACGCGGTCAGATGTGACACAAAGCCGGATTTAATGTGGGGTATCCGAGCCCTTAGGCTCGGCCAAATATTCACCATAGACCTCATATAAAACGGGGTCGGGTAGCTGTTTCCGGAGACGAGATTCTACCCTCGACATAATCTCGTCTGAAGATTCTAGCTGCCCTGAGGCAGAGAGATTGACCAGCACAGCTGGACACGAATCTCCAACTGCAGACCAACATACAGTATTTACTACTATATTTATGTGAATGGGGACATGCCCATTATCATCCATAGGTATTCTACAACAAGTAGTAATCCCTATAGTCATCCGAACAGCGAATTAGTATAGTACAGAATAGAGAAATAGTATAGACTAGAAATGGTAATCCGTATAATAGAGGATAAACTAAAACTAAACTTCTACATCGGTAATAACATTGACACCAAGACATTATGCGAAGAAATGGAGCGTTGTTACTTGACCCTCGCTGCTCACCAATGCCATTTCTTTACAACAGTCAGATTAGACCAAAAATGAAGTACAGGCTGACCTCAAAAAACAGGAATTTTTTAAGTGCGTATTGCCAGACATGAGCAAGTGGCAACACTACGAGACAGTGATCTTGAGCAAGTAAACATTTCATCATTTAGAATTCAAGATGAAATTCACAGTATCTCAGCTGAGATGTTGCAGCAGTCAATCAGGAATCTCAACAGCAGATTTCAAGAATGCATTCGTACAGGAGGACGCCATCTACAGAACGTATTTTTTAAAAAATGAAAATTCCATCATTGTTTCTTAAATGGCATGTTTTAAGGTTTCAATTACTATGAGGAAAATATTTTTCTTCTATCACTCTTGATTTTATTGGATTGTTAAAAACTTCCTGTTTTTTGGGGTCACCATATATTTGCTGTCATATTGTTGGAGAAACTCAATCTTAACTAGCCAGCTGGGAAGGCATAAACTGTTGAAACTAAACGAAATATAGCCCGACAGATCCTTTACGGGGAAAACAGCGATAGAGTAAAGCGAGGCTAACAACGTAATCTCGTTTGATGAATCTCGAGGCCGGGAAGTGAGAAGTGGGCAGAACAGGTCCGGATATGGTTTTAATCATATCACACCATTCCAGGCAGTAAAGCCACTAAGACACAAGGTGGTTACTGGGTATAAAAGAATAAGAAAAAAAGCCAACGGAAAAAATAAGGGGTGAGAATAAAGAAAAATAATCATGTAGACAGTAGATAACGTTTGACATTGCATTTAAATATCTGAGGATCCAACATGGCCCTAAAGCATGAAATCAGAACAGAGTTCCACATGTGAGAAATTCTAGAGGAGAAACTGTTAGTATATAACTTGCGGTTATATCTAACCATTTCAACTGTGGATTGATGAGGGCTTGTCATCAATTTCACCATCATCATTCGACCGTAGTCAGGATCATCGAGTCAATGCAAAGGATTATTTCCTTAGCTGCAATAGTATGTGCTTGGTCAGGGCTACATACAGTTTTGAATTCAGAGTTTTCCTTCTCCTAGACCGATTGCCACCCAAGGCTATAGAACCCATTCTGTTAAGGAGTCGGCCGTAATCGGGATCATCGTGTCAATGCGAACAATCCTTTACTTAGCTGCAATAGTATGTGATTCACCAGGGCTACCCAAAGTTTTGAATTCAGAGTTTTCCTTCTAGATCGGTTGCCACCCAAGGCTATAGAATATGTTAAGGAGTTGACCGTAGTCAGGATCATCGGTTCAATGCGAATGATCCTTTCCTTAGCTGCAATAGTATGTGATTCGCAGGGGCTACATACAATTTTGAATTCAAAGTTTTCCTTTTCCTAGACCGATTGTCACCCAAGGCTATAGAACCCAGTCTGTTAAGAAGTTGACTGTAGTCGGGATCATCGAGTCAATGCGAACGATCCTTTCCTTAGCAGCAAGAGTATGTGCTTCGCCAGGGCTACCCAAAGTTTTGAATTCAGAGTTTTCCTTCTCCTAGACCGGTTGCCACTCATGGCTATAGAACCCAGTCTGTTAAGGAGTCAGCCGTAGTCGGGATAATCGTGTCAATGCGAACGATCCTTTCCTTAGCTGCAATAGTATGTGCTTCGCCAGAGCTACATACAGTTTTGAATTCAAAGTTTTCCTTCTCCTAGACTGATTGCCACCCAAGGCTATAGAACCCAGACTTTTAAGGAGTCGGCCGTAGTCGGTATCATCGAGTCAATACGAACGATCCTTTCTTTAGCTGTATAGTATGTGGTTCGCCAGGGCTACATACAGTTTTGAATAAAGAGTTACTTTCTCCCAGACCGCTTGACACCCAAGCCTATAGAATCCAGTCTGTCCTGCTATTTACCCATAACCACCAATCGAGTACTACGCTTAAATTCATAAAGTCTAGGTACCATAGCGAAGAGTGGTATTTATTTGTTATGTACAGAAAACGTGGCACAAGGCTAAAAATGGGAAAATGGACGCTCTTCTTCTGTCTTAACATTAAACTTAGCTAGCCACAAACACTGACCCAAACATACAACAATATTCCTAACACTAAAACAACGCATTCTTACTTACCTTTCTTATTACACCCACCATAATACCTCATTGTCTCTATGAAAGTCCTAACTTGTTCCCATATGTACAATTCATTGTCTGTTGGGGGAGGGGAATAAAACAACAATTTAATAACTAGCCCCAATGAGTATTTATAATATGAAAACAATTACCATGAAAGTAGTTATAGAAAAGGCACGGGGAAGCTATTTTACATCAATGGGAATGAGACTGAAGCCGAGACGCCACATCAGGACCAATAATATTGCTGATTCTTCTTTGGATTTTTTTTAAGAATCTCGAAATATGTATCAAGAACATTGAACCATATGTGGCAGCAATATTCGAGACATATACAAATGATAAATATGTAAGATAGATTCTGGGGAGAAACACTCTCTAATACGACAAAATGAACTAACTTTCTTAGCAGCAGAGCTAGCAATGTATTCAATATAATCTTTTTATTTCATGTCAGGCGAAAATGCTTGTCCGAAACGGCACAACGAGTCACTTTCCCGAAGTTTAGTATCAGCCATGCCGATGGGAAGGTTGAAGGGGTCTTTCTGATGTAATAGGGAGAAGTGTCATTTTGGGTGTGTTAAAATTAATAAGCCAATCCTTACCCCAGTTAAAAGCAGATTGTAGGTCATTTGTTTAGATCAGCAACTAATTTGAACTTATCGAATTTGATCAGACTTTTCGAAACAGTGGTAAACGATTGGCATATCAGTAATACTCCATTTATGGTCTCACCTGTCTCTTTATTCATAGAGCATGACAGAAGGTGTTAAATATTTCCTGAAGTCTCACAAAGAAGCGACCATTCTCCCAGCATGTTTAGCGATGATACGAATATAAGAGTTACATGTGGGGTCCGCAGTAAGCTTTAGCCCCAATAGAAGTTCCAGGCAAGGAACATTAATAATCGTATAACCGCTAATCAGGACTGGAGCAATTTTAGCAATCGCTTAGATCGGATCACCTCTTCTGGGTTTTCTCGGAAACGGAACTGCCTACTACTTATCATGTCTGAACTACATCTGACATTGGACTCGGCCACATTGAGCTACATGTTGGATGATGAACCTGATGGAATTATTTTTACGTCCATTCATTCCGGTCTTGTTTTCAAATATAAATAGTTAGTTGCGGCAAGAGTAAGCAAACGATCCTCCTGCGTAAAGCACAGGGGACACTAATTCCAGGAACACTACGTTATCTCACCAGATTTAAACCCCATTGAGCATGTGTGCGATATTTTTCAGAAATATATCAG